AAAATTCCAATTCTGAATAGATTTGTACTTTTACCTCTCTTGCATTATATAAAAAATCCTTAATAATTTTTTTTGTTTTAAACAGCTTGTGTAATGTCTTTCAGCAAGATGTTCAATGTAACTAATGGAATTGAAGAGTTTTGCAGATATATTTTGTTGAGATAAAGTGAAAAGACCTCTCTCTTTGGACTGAAACATTGTCTGAAAATTGGTATTGGAGAGTAGATACAACTAACTGTCTGAAAATTTCATGGAAATTCAATACTTAGCATCACTTTGGATAGAATAAATATTAAAATTTGAATTGAGGAAGTTGAAAGTAACGTAAATCAGTGCGAAGGAACTTCAAAAAACCCGAAGAAAATTCAAGCTAAGACATTGAAGTTTCAGATGTTAAATCCCTGTGATATTCCATTGAGACCTATCAAGTGAATTGCTTTGTTTTCTTTGAGTTAAAGAAATATTCAAGTTATAGATGTTTGAATTAGAGAAGTTTTACTGTATATATGTAACCATCCTTTATATGGACTCATAATGGATTCAATCCTCCAATTTTCATGAAGCAAATATTATATACCATGCATAAAATTTGCTATAAGCAACATATATATATTTAGATGATAATTTTGCAACCCAAATCAAATTAATTTAATTTTCATGTTTATTTAGTATCAGCTTAATAAGCATTGTAAATCTTCCTAATTTAAATATGAAAGAATATGTTAAATTAAATTAAATACATTACAATTAGATTAAATTTATCAAAATTTCCTTTTTATCTTACCATGCCTTCTTTCAGTAGTAAATAATGATACTTGTTATGCAATCTTTTGATTCTTTCTAAACATTTATGAGATATTGCTTCGAATGATTGATCAACTGTAAACAAATATTATAATAAAATGTAAAATTCACATACTAGAAAAATTACATGTGAAAAATAGAAATTCAATTCTGTTTAAAACTAACTTTATTAATAAAACATATCATATATATATAGTACATGTGTAATAAAATTATCATACTCAATTATTTAATGTATACAAAGAAAGATAAAATGTAAGAAATACATTATACATTTGAAAATGTTAGATAATTTATAAATAAAATAAAATACATTTATTTTATTTTATTTATAAAATTGCTAAACCTTTTAATAAATCCTAACAAAACAAAAGTTATGGATTTTAGCCTTGTTAGAAACACTCCCATTAATAATTTTTTCCTTAATAGCCAATGTCTAGAGACTGTTAATAGTGTCTGCGATCTTGGTGTCATATTCGATAACAGACTTTCTTTTAACCTACATGTTGAAAATCTAATCAAAAATATTTCCATCCATCACAGATGAAAATTGACAGCAGATATGGAATGCTTAGGGACTTAGGCCCCAATTCAATCATATATGACTTCCGATCCAGACCGGAAGTCATGTGATTTTTTAAATTAAAATAATAAAAAAAATTGCAGCCTAGCATTGTGATGTTGTAACAATAATATACAACTAGTTTAGGTTTAGTTTTACACTTGACAATAATCACGTTTTTCGTTTCATTGGCTAAGTACAACACCGTTGTAAATCTGGTTCTCTCGTGGTCTGTACTCTAGACCAATGGTCAGCAACTGGTAGTCCGTGGAGAAATTTGGACATTGATCAACAGAAGGTTACGTGAAGTATTACGAAAGAAATGCAAAATGCATAGTTACTTTTTTCCACTCATTGGGGGTTTCTATTCGAATCTAAAACCAAATACAAAATAACTGTTATCAATAAATAATGAACAATAAACAATATTGTGAGAGCGATTGTCATCCTTTGTGGAAAAGCGCTAAGAATCCATAAACTTGTTTCAAACAAGCAGCAATGAACTTTAGGCTTGCATTAATTTGTTATAATTAAACATGCAAGTTTCGTATTAATATAGTAAAATTGAACTTTTATGATCATTATTCTACAGGTTTTGTATTGTTTAAAAAAATTCATGATAGTGGTCCGTGGGATTCAAAATTGTGAGTTTAGAGGTCCGTGAGGTCAGAAAGGTTGCCGACCGCTGCTCTAGACGAGCAGAATTTTCTTATCCTTAGAGTCCACTGTTTTATTGCATTCCATATCAAAGTTCATGGGTGTTTTGTCGATATTTCAAATATTTGATAATGGAAATTGATATTTCTCTTCAATCAAATAATAAATTGGTGAAAACTGGTAACTTAACTTTATGGTCAAGATCTGCTTGTAGCTTCTAAACAATTTTTGTTCTTTGTTGCATTACTAGAGTTTTTCATGTTCATAAACTGGTTGTACCATTCTGAGATTGCTTTAAATTCTCTACTCTGCTTTATTTAATTTTCTTGACCATTTCAGTGCATATATACTGTATATATATATATCTAGGTTTAACTGATATATATATATCAATTATATTTCTTGTGACAATGCAGTTTCAGCATCTATTCTTAAAACAACTTTGTGAACAAGTATTGCCAACCAACTCGGGATGGGAAGTGTTGCCAGTCAGACTTCTGAATCTCTGGCAATCATCTTTATATCCCTAGTCTCTTACTATCTTTCTGGTTATATCAAACTTTATCGCAGAAGCATTACTCAATTCCTTTGCCATTTTAATCATTTTTAGTTTAAAACTTGCTTCATACTTTCTTCATTTAGTTTGTTTCATGATTTCAAATAATAAAAACTTTAAAAACTTATTTAACAAATTGAAGTAATTCAAAGTTTTTAAGCTGGCTTTTAGAAAAACAGGAATCTTCCAGAACAGTTAATTACTTGAAACTTCTTACAACTGAAATAATGGCGCAAACAACTATGAGATAGCTAATGGTCAAAGTAAATAAATCCGAAATATTTTTTATATGTATCATCCAACCAACATCACACTACAGTTAATATATTATTACTTATTGATATTCTATTTTTATTACATTTCCCTACACTAGATAATAAACATTAATATTAATAGATGCAATGTACTATGAATTTTAAGGTTCGTAGCAATACTTTTTGCAGGGAATGAATTTAAAGCTTCCTGTTCTTAACATGTGAAGATTTTCTATTCTGAAATTTGGACTTTGTCTTATATGCCAGTATACAAATATTAGCTTTGATGTCAAAGTATTTCAGAAATTAAAAAAAAAAAAAAAAAATAGTAATAGATTCGTTTGTTCTGAAACCGTGTTGTAATATTTTCTTTAGAAGTGTTGAACACTAGATCGTGTTTTTAAAACAATCCCATGGCTTATTCTCCACCTTTTATTTAGTTGATACGGTATCATTTTACACGTTTCGGGCTTTGTTGCCCCTCATCAGTCAAGTAAATTAAGAAATAGTATATACAGCATTAAAATATCATTTTTTACAAACATTTTAAAATACATATATACAACTTGCACGTACCATTTGATAAGTTTGTGTATTACAAACTGGAAAAATGTGGTGGCTATAGAAACATAGTAAAATTCTTCTATATCTATTTAAAATAATAAAACGATATTAAAATTACATGAACCGTTTTGATATCTATATCTATATAGGGGGTCGACTGTATTGTATCTGTAAAAATCCAAATACAGTCGACCCCTCTATAACATGGGTTCCTATAGTTTGGATTCCTATATCACCGCGAAAAAATTGCGACAGTATTCGAATAAACACGCTAAAGGAGACTCATATAGCACGGTAAAACGTCATCGCCGAATCGTGTTGCGACAGGATTGGTCGAATCTAGACCAATAGCGGATATTGCACAAACCGTTGAGTTTAAACGAGCAGCTGACCTACTAAAAACCATTTATTATTTAACGTCCATAAAAATTATATTTATATTAATTACGTCTCCAAAGTTCGGCGAATTTTTCGGAAAATAAGTAATTTATTAGGAAGCACGCGAGCGCCATTCGATGACAATCTCCACGACGAAAACAAGCTTAAGCAATGGCGCCGTCGAACGGTGCATACTCGGTAAGTAATCCTACAATTTTTTGTTTATAGCGTAGTTTATATGGATTATTCCCAAAAAATTATACGTAGTTTGGAAATGTTGAGTCGAATTAGTCTAGAATCGATTAATTTTATGGAAGAAACCTTTCAAACAGCAGTAGTCCATAAACTGCATACGTGCCGGGCTGTGATTGGCTGGACTCGTAGAAAATGTATTCATAAAAACCGGAACGTATCTACCGTGTTATAGGGGGGTCGACTGTATTTAACATGCAAAATGATTTTATTTATTTATTTATTTAACCAAACGACCCTATGGCCATTGGCCTTTTTCAAGAGTAAAAAAAAATTTTATATAAATGATTTCAATGGATTTTTTCCATCATAAAATTGAATTCAGATGTATTCAACTTTTTTAAATATATTTTGAAATATTTGCTTAGGCTACATAACTGAAATAATCTAGCATAATTTGCTAATTGCATAATCAATTCGCTAATATTTACTTATGCAAAAGTTAAAGCATATATTGAATGAGACATCCAAATGAAGTTTTAATCGATTTTTTTGATTCATCTGAGATAAAATAAACATTTAGCAAAGAATAAAACCATAAAAAATTATTTTTAAATAAAAATAAAATATAATTTAAATACTCAGACTTTTAATATACGTTTTAGCTTTTGGATAAGAAAATAACCACAATCGGTGAAAAAACGGGATCAACTTCATTTTGTTAAATGGAAACTCAGATTTTTTTATTTCATATTATAATTCTACATCATAAGCAAACTTATTAGTGCTACAGAGCGTGAAAGACTGTAAAGCTTGTAATAAAGAGAAATTATTGATCTTAATTCCAAATACTTTGAGATTATTATTCTTATATCTTCAATTACAGGCTGAAACTAATAAATTCGGTACGTGCAGAGATTTCTATAGAATAAAGAGGTTGCGGCCGACGTTTTCAACGCGAAAACGTGTACGTCGGACGTTCAGCGCCGCCTTCCTGTGAGCCTAGAAGTTTGACAATGGCGTTTGGAACTTCAGTAGAATCGTGTTCGACGTTCTAAACGCCATTGTCAAACTTCTAGGCTCACAGGAAAGCGGCGCTGAACCTCTGACGTACACGTTTCCGCGTTGAAAATGCCGGCCGCAACCTCTCTAATAACAGGGTTGACAGGTACTTGGGATAAAATCTGGGACAAAATGAGTTCTTCCCGAAAGGTACTGAGAGGCTTCAATTCTAGGACATGTAACACATGTGTATTTTTACTGTACCAGCTGCCAGTGAAAGAAATACACTTAAAATGTGCGAAAAAAGATACTTCATTGTAGGAACAGTTTTTAAAATAAAATCGTCCTATCGATTGGCTAAAGTGGGAAAAAATCCAGGACAATCCCAGAAAACAGGGTCATCTGGCAACCGAGTTAATAATGACATGAAATTTTTTCTTTGGAGACTTCACTTAATCTTTCAATTCCAGAATAGACCGAATTTAATGCACTGGCCATCTAACAATACAAAAGAAAATTTTTAAAAATATATTATTGAATCAATTGAGATAATTATTTTGTTAAATAATTTACCTTAACGGGAAATTTCTTAGTAATATTGAAATAACCATTCACAGATAGACATAAAGATGCCTTTCCAAATTTCTTCATGAAATTTAATACCTATAATGTTCATTATGAGTCCCAATTGATCAAAAATATTTAAAAGTATTAACGAAAAGCAAAAAAAAACTCACATTTAATTTCTGCTCTAGTGTTAAATTACAATCTGCAAATCTTCGAATGTCTTGAAAAGATGTCTGCATCTGGATAAAACGAAAACATGTTATTTATTTAATTAAAGTAATAGCGAGATTGCGGCCGAAGTTTTCATCTCTCAAACGTGAGCGCCGAACGTCAAGCGGCGCTTGACGTTCGGCGTTCACGTTTGAGAGATGAAAACTTCGGCCGCAACCTCTCTATTAAAAACTGTAGATATAAAATAGAATACTTACAGCTGATGTAAAGATAGAATAGAAGAATCCGATCAAAACACAGACATAAGTCACTAAACAACTAATGATACAAAGTATAGTTCTCAATAAAATATTTGTATCCACAGAAGCAGTAATATAATAAACTAAGCTTGTTTCAGTGATCAAGCAACTATATAGAACTGTTAACGGATAAACGAAGCGGTTGTTAAATTCAGTACTAATAAAATCCCATAATTCGGCATGTTGTGCCATAATTTTTTCTAATTCCGAGTACAAATTCCGATCGTTCTCTTTTAACAAATATAAATTTTCTGACAGTTTTTGAAACGATTTCATGAAAGTAATAACAAGCAAAATAATTACGTAAACCAAATGAACAATTCCTCCAATTATGACACAGATCCAAATACCTACTTCTATGCAACAATAAAAGGCTTCGTTGGAGAATTGTTTTCCTTTCTCTAATGCCGGATAAAATAACAAAATATTTGCCAGTTGCATCGCTATTGTCAAAAATATAATAATAAACAAGACAATTTTTTCAGCCCGGTCAAACTTTTCATACAATTTTTTATCTAGAAAAAACTTTGGCATTCGAATTTTTAATGTTGGATTGAGTTTTGTTCTTTTAAAAATACTGAAACAAAGAGCTAATACAAATGCAAACATAGCAACTGAAACTTTTACGAATATATTATTATTGACAACCGAATACCAAGAGATACAAGGAATTTTCTCGGAAACGTAAGGAATTGTCAATAAAAATGTCAAAATAAAATGCTCCCAATAAATTAACTCGATAAAGATTAAAAGAAATTCATCAATTATTCGATATGCTAAGATTGTCTTCTTTATTTGAAAGGTACAAGGAAGAAAAAATGACCATCCATAAACTGTAGCAGTCGATAAATATGGTTTTAGAGCACAATTCAAGCATATAACTGATTCTAAATTATGTGCCATTCTCTAGATCTACTTTTTCTAACGTTAAATGAGACCGATTACAGGTTTCAATTAAATTAAGACGTTATAGAGGATCACTAAAAGTAATTTAGTCCAACTGAAAAATAAATAATTACTTATTACTGACAGTTTGCTAAAAGCTATATAATATATAATATTAATTAAACTACATTGAGTAATTATATATTAAATTATACAACCGGAGCGATAATTAATTTAATTAACAACGAAAAGCCGACTTAAGCAAAGTTATTTTATTACAAAGTAATTTTACTAAAGCCGCCATTTCGCGTTATATTTAATTACTAGAAATAAATGAATTTAACTTAGAATATTCTTGGAAGAAAAGATCGGCTCGAAGTTGGACCGAACCCGCAACTCCTTCTTACCGTGAAGATGCGTTGCAGGTTTTCAATTACATTATCCGGCACTACTGAACACTGGTCGTGGGTTTGTGAATTGCCAATGGACTGGCCACGTGGTTTTCCGGGTTTTCTCCAAGTTTGTAACATCTAAATATGGGCCAGTTTCCAATAGAAAGTCTTGGGAGGCATCCCTCTCGGCAAATGGCCAAGGTATTGCGTTGCCATAAACTAATAACTCAAACCAAACATTACAAAACCTTCGTCCAATGTTCGTTTCCAGACCAATTAATTTAGACCTAACCATACTGGGTGAATGTATATATGAAATCATTATTATTAAGATGTATTATTATATATATCATGCATGGGTAAAAGCGTAGGTTGGCTGAGGATGGAGTGCCTCAGTCCTCAGTATGGTTATATATAAATTCATTCTACAGCAGGGGTCGCCAAACTTTTTTAACCGTCGACCCCCAATCACTTTTCAAAGCCTCATATTGACCCCCACCGTAAAGTTTTATTACAAGTGTATATGTATGAGCGAAAAAAAAAACGTTGTGGGTTGTGGTCTCTGTCTAAGCAAAAAAAAAGGTTGTGACCCCTTAGCCGCATCGACCCCCAATGATGTTGCATCGACCCCTGGGGGTCTATATCGACCACTTTGGCGACCCCTGTTCTACAGGATGCAAATGCGAAATCATCCAAATTTCAGAAAAATATAATTGTTTAAATATGAAATTGTTGTTTGTCGTGCACAAAATAAATAATTGTAAATTATAAATACTAAAAAACATAATTATTAAATACAACTATTGTAATGAACAATTGTTTTCGGATCTTGCTTAAAAGCAGGACACGGGTACTCGAGATTAAATACAATATTTTAAACTTATGAAATAATTTATCGCTTACCATTTTAGATTTAACTTGCAACACCAGCAATTGTGCACGACTGGATGGAATGGAATTTAGAATATGCTTGGAATTTACGCGTTCATCTAATTTGATATATCGATTATTGATTGATATTGATATTGTTGATATTGTTATATCGATTATTGGTATTCATTTTTGATTTATTGTAGAATTTCAAGATGAGATTATATTATAAAAGAGCAATCATACGTAGCTTAACGTAGCTTAAATGCACTTGCATATATATATGATTGCGGAGATATAAATTCTCATTGTCCTCCGTATGTCCGTCCGTCATTCCTCAATCTCGAGAATAGAGTTAGATTGATGAACGACGAAACCAGATATAGAAAGCTTTGTGTCAGGAGGTCCCGATTAACTATATATAAAATTCTAATGTAAACCGGAATGTAAACTTTATTGTTAAAAGTAAAGGATGATGTACAGAGCAAGTCACTATGAATTTGAAGTGAAAAGCACATATTTAAGTATAAATTAAATAGTCTAATGAATACGGCTATGATAAATTTAAGGGAATCTTAATATCATATCAGCGAATGACTGGAACACAACTAGACTAAGTTTTTTTTTTTTTTTTTCAAAATAGTCTTCAAGTAAAAGCGTCGCAAAACCTCAGGCCGGTCCTGCGTTAGTTGTATATTAATATATCATGAAATCGATAGAGATTTTCGAATAAATCGATTTTAAAATTTATTTATAACAAAATTGTTAAAAATTTAGATTCCATTTCGAATAGTCACACATTTTAAAATCGATGCTTCAGCATTAGTTTTTCTTTAGAAATAATTTTGCATGGTTTTATTCTTTGCTAAATGTTGATTTGATCTCAAATGAATCAATGAAATCGATAGAAACTTTATTTGGATGTCTCTTTTAACCCAAAAAATCTTTACGCCTGTAACCCTTTAGTCAGGTTCGAACCAAAGGAAACTACTAGTCTTTTGTGGTGATATGCTTTCTGTCACTGTTGAGCTTATTTTTGTACATAAATTGTTTCCTTAATTGATTAAACTAAATCTTAATAAGCTCTAAATATAAGTAAGAGGAATTTCAAAACTCTACCGAGCAATTATTCATTGTGACATTATTGCAATGCCAGACTGCAATTTTTCGTCACAATGCTCTTAATTTTAGTAGTGTCCTGCCCGTGTACATTATACTTTTCCTGATAACAACGGAGACATGCCGATAATCTATTTAAATTAAGTTCTTTGCCAAAAAAATTTGAATTGAAATTAAGTCAATTCCGTTTTATAATAGTAATTTTTAAGTTGACATAATACTAGTAGACCCCCTATAACACTGTAGATAATTCCGTGTTATATGAATTCCATGTTGTACGACTCACTTAGATTTTACAAATACGTGTGCTGTGAACGGCTCAAGTATTTGTAAAATCTAAGTGACTCGTACAACATGGAATTCATATAACACGGAATTATCTACAGTGTTATAAGGGGTCTACTGTAAATAATTCTTTACAAAACGAAAAAAATTTTAGAGTAAAAAACGTTCTGTAATTATTATTATTACAGTACACTATTTTACGCTAAATACGATATCGAGCGCGCAACTTGAATTCAAATTTTTTAAAGAGCCTTGTATCTTCGAGCGGTGGATTTGTATTGTATTAATATATTTAAAAAATAAAGCGACGAGTTGCTGAACTTTACCCGGCAACATTTAAAATTTTAGTAGTGCCATCTGTTATCATATTTTATTATTTACGAATAAGTCATTATAAAGTCATTCCTTGCCTACTTGGCCTTTTACATTCCCGGCTGTTATGTATACATAACAAAAGAAAGTATTGGAATCGTGTCAAATTATTTGACCCTCCGAGTTTTTTTGCAAATCTTCACATTTTGAGATCTCCTGAACCCAAAAAAAAAATCCAAAAAATTCCGTGGATGTGTGTGTATGTGTTGGCATCTACTTCGCTTAATATCTCAGAACTGGGTGAACATAAAGAAACGAAATTTGACATGGTAGTTCGGATATAAGGGGCATTGATACTAATAAATTTTGGTTGTGAATGTCGAGGATGGAGAGATAAAGGATGGTCACGTGTCATATCTCTCGAAAGATCAGACTTAATAAAGATTTTACTTGTTAGCATTTACAGTATTTTATAAAACTCACCTCTACCCTGAAAATTAAGTCTTTTGCTATTTTATAATAGTTAAAAAATATATAAAATTTTTACAACAAAATCTCATAACAGATGGCGCTACATACAATTTTTTTATTTATTTTGATTAATAATAACACAAATGTTATTTCTAAAATAAAATCTCATAAAAGCCGGGAAAGTTACGCAAGATTTTTTTCTAATCAAGACTTTTACACTTGTAGCACAAAAGAAAAAAAAAGTCTTGTAAGTTGTTTCCTTTTTTCCTCTATTATTTCCAAATGTATTTCGAACATTTTCCGTTTCTCTTCAGTGGGTATAAAGGTAAAGTTTTTGACACTTGCATTTATAAGCTAAAGCACATAAAACAACTTTTATAATATTTATATAACAATAATCATGTAAACTTTCCTACGTACATATACTACGGCTGGACGGCCGAGCGGTGAAGGTGGCAGCCTACCGCTCTGGGGGACCCGGAATTGAATAATCCCCAGAATTTTTTCGGGTGGTGGTCCGTCTGGATATGTCGGGCCCCGTCTCTCACCACCCGGTTGCCCCATTGTGGGCCTAGCCGTACCCATAATGGGCTTACAAAAGAGGCCCTCTTAGTGCCCACAGGGTAGTAAGAGTTAAAAAAATAAAAACATACATATACTGTTAGATTGGTTTTACCACGATGTTTTTCTTAAAGCTAAATCGATACGTAAAAGAAATACAGTCAACCCCCCTATAACGACAATTCCTATAACGTAGCGAAAAAATTGTAGCAACATTCGTATAAAATACCTCCTATAACGTCGTTTCGCGACAAGATTGATAGAATCTGGACCAATAGTGGATGAGCAGCCGAACTACTTTCCTCCGACCCTGCGCCACCCTACGGAGCGGCTAAATTGAGTTTGCTATTGTCTGTTTAGTATTATATATAAATTAGGTACTGTACATATAATTATATATTAATTATACATAAATTAGGTACTGTATATATAATTATATATTAACTTAATTTATTGTAACTTTATTATAATTATATATATGCTTTCTGCCGCCTGGCAACACGCTACGGAGATTTTAGGCTAGTAAGTTGAGTTTATTATCGTCTGTACAGTATGTAAATTAGGTACCGTAAGTCTAATACAGCACTAATTTTATACATTTCTTGTGAAAGAAACACTTCTTATTCAACGGCCATAAAAATTATTTATATTAATGATGTCTCCAAAGGTCAAGTTATTTTTCTGCGAAAAATTCGTTATTAGAAATCGCGGCCGCCGTTTCATGTGCTGTTCCGCAACGAAAACCAGCTTTAAGCAACGGCGTAGTCGAACGGTACACACTCGGTAAGTAATCCTATAATTTTTTGTTTATAGCATAGTTTATACGGATTACTCCCAAAAAATTATACGTGTTTTGGAAATGTTGAGTGGAATTAGTCTAGAATCGGTTAATTTTATAGAAGAAAACCTTTCAAACAGCGTTAGTCTGTAAAGTTTCCACCTATCGGGCTGCGATTGGCTCATGTATTTAATCATTCCTACAACGTAAAATTCGATTAGCGTGGAACGTATCTAAGCGTTATAGGGGGGTCTACTGTACACTAAATTAAAATTTTAAAATAATTTCAAAAATGTTTTAATTAAGAGCTTACTTCTCTTCGAAAGGTTATTGTTAGTACGCCTTTTATAGAATAATTATATTTTCTAGTTGCGGTTATATAATGGATCTACCTTTTGTAGTATAATAAATACGGATACAACGTAACACCCCTTATTGTATCTCCCCTGGCATATACGAAATTTTTTTATAATCACGTATGATTTTTCCTTAATTATCGATTATAACATTATGAATTAAGATTACTTTCTGTGTTAATGTGTTCTAAATGTTCTAACAATTAACTAAATCTTTTTAAAAGATTTTAACTGTATTCAATTCAATTTCGCCTTGGGTATAGCAATGTCTTGCCATTGCAAAATGTGCATAATTTTTTCCGATAGATTTTATGTTTGTTGAATCTGACTCTTACCTATATAAATGTTAGGGGGTTGGTTACAAATGCAGTTAAGTGCACACGCCTGCAAATATTTTGAGATTCCCATTAATAAATTTTTCAAAATCTTCAGTGTTTTGTAAAGGCTCTAGGAGTGTACTCTTCCTGTCCAGCTAAACCTTGCCCACATTATTAAAGAATTGTCACATTGACATTTGAAAAGTCAGTAATAACATCGGAGCCATCTGGAGAAATTGATTTTTTTAAATTACTATTTAATTAAAAATAAACGAATTATCTAACATTGGTGAGTGCAGGAAATTCAAGTAATTTCTTGTATTACAGGATTCTAGATGTAAAAAGAATGTTTCTTATGATTGACTTGGGCACATTTAACTCTAGATTCGATAAGAGTTGCCTATAAAATATTATGTTTAACTCGATTTCTGTAGAAATTATGCGTTTCTGGAATAGAGAGAGTTTTACAAGTCGTTGTTTTGACTTTTTCTTTTCATAGTTTTCTTTTAAGACATCATATCGTTTAAGACAGGGTTGTCCAAACTTTTTTCCTAATGGACCAAATTAGAAATTTAGGTATATTCGGAGGGCCACAAAGGTCCTTTATATAAATATATAGTTTTAAAATGTTCAAAATGTGAATATCAAATTTTAATAACAAGCATATAATATCACAAAAATTATTAGTATTAGTATTAAATAGTATTATTGAGAGTAAAATAGAAATTACTCACACCAAATAAAAATGAATTCAAAGCAATTTTTGACATTGACTTCCTTTTATAATATTGTCAATGTGTTTTTATGATAGGCCTACTAGTCTTAATTCTAAGAAAGTTAAATGGGAATCACTCAACCTATTTCTTTCAGCAGTTTTGATGCTTTTAATGCAAGAAAAGAATTGTTCACAACGGTACTGTACAGTACATACTACTCCATATGCATAACAGTTCTCTACATAAAACAGTTTTCTAACACCAATTACGTCATTATAACATCAAAGTGTATCCAGTAAAACGAGAATAAGTTCTACGACATAATTAACAAAATAAATGAAAATACAGGTATACCTCGCCTTACGTCGGT